CGAGCGGCGGCCCGCCGAGCTCAGACTAAGTTGCACAAATCTGCCTACTTGCTAGCTGCGTGTCTCTCTCTCGAGCCCTAGCGCGTAGCTAGACTTCTCGACGGTAGCGAAGATGCCTAAGGGCCCCGGAAATATGCACGCTCTCAGACAGCGGCACGCAGCAGCTCCGGTGATACGATCTTCTGCTGCTCGCGGTTGCAAACCACAAGACGGAAGTCGAGTCAGGATGGGACGAGGACTCGCATTGCGCACACTAGACCGAGCGAATCTGGGTCTTTCATGACGAAACAGCCCTCTACTTTACGCGACGGCTATCCCGCAGCTAAGAATGCGCGGACACCGGTCGAACAGGGTTGAACGTGAAGGAGACGAAGGGTGGTATACTAATCCACCAAAATTGAATAGATCTCTGCTGTGATTCTTCGTAGTGAACTATCGAATTTGTCAGAGCACACGCTCTTCACGAAGTTGAGCGTTGAGACGGCGAGACATCAGCAAGATGGTTTCAGTCTCTTCGGGTACATACCCCTGAGTTGGGTGAGCGGTGGTCAAAAGCTGAAATCACGGCTGGCGACATGCACCGGTTCCACATAGTGACCGCTGCGACGCAGGTGAACTCGCCACCGTACGGTCGATCAGAATGCACTCGAGAATCAGCATCCTTAAGCCTCAATTGACTTAGATATATTTCCCCCTCCGATAACCGCCTAGATGCCCAGATCGTCACGTGTTGCAGAGGACTTGGATGCTGCATACCTGATGCCTCCATGGCGTGTGTTCTACGACATGTATCCAGAGGCTTGCACTGTTGTCTGATCCCATTTTGTGCTCGTCGATTATATGGGAATGACGGCATACTGTTGCGAGGCAAGGAGCTAGAGACAGTACGGCAGAAGGGAATCGTGTACTCACAAGTGCAGTGATGCAAAGATATGTCTCGAGGATTCGCTGTGGCAGACCATCAAGCCCGTCTTCACCTCTATCCAACCTCTATCTCCGACTGTGCGACGCGCGTTTCGGCGCTCATTCACTTTTGCGCTCATCACGCCGCTGTGGAGAGCGTCAGGAAGGCAGGAAATACGCAGGCTAGTCGAGGCAGACACATTCACGGAGGGGTATAAATCGATATATTCATTATAATATGTACGTATATACATGGATATCGCCGGCTCTGTGTGTAGTATAATATTTTAGAGGTCTTGTATGAGTATGATGGGTAGTCTCGTAGTAATATAAAGGGACAGGTGTAGATAGGCATGAATGTGGCAGATAAGGTTCGGCGCTGGATCTGAGTTGGAGTTTTTGTGAAATAATCCGGACGATATGGTTTTTTAGTAAGAGAGTGGGGGCAAATCAAGAATTCGAACTTTTGTTCGGAGCACGCAACACAGCGTGCGCTAACGTATATAGTACATATATGGCACAGTTACTTGCCAACCAAGCCATCAATCCTGAAAATACGTTAGATAGTATACGCATGCATTCACTAAACGCACTTACCGCCTACAATCCTTCATGCTCGTGAATCGTTTTACTCTGAAGTCCTGAAGCTGGTGAGATAGCGCGCTAGAGCGCAGGACTGTGGTCAACCAACCTTTATTCCATTCCTTCCACCGCGCCTGATCCCACCGCAGCGCTGTCAGTATCTTCGGATTCTCCGCCTCCGGCAATACTCCCCTCGTTGCCCTGAGGTACGTCGCCGAGACCGTGAGCGACAGGTCCTTGTGCGAGGGCGGAGGAAAGCAACGCATCAAGCAGGGACTCCCGGTGAGCGTTCATGGCACCAGCCACATCGCCGTGGCATGCCAGAAGCCTAGTCGCGGCAGCGAGAAGCGCGCTGTGTGTTTGCTCGGGGTGATTAGTGGTCGCGTTGATGAAGTCAGCGGTGATAGTGTTGAACTCGCTGAACGCGTTAGCCACCACGGTATGGAGCCGCTCCTCGAGACGGCCGGCGCTGACGAAATGGAGCTGGGCGAGGTGAGCGAAGCCATTGGGGGGAGCGGTGGGCTGCTGCTGTGGCACGGCGGTACCAGCAGCGCCGTTGGTTATCCCTTGAGCATCGAGCGCGTGCGGGATGGGATCGGCGAGAGCTGCAAAGTTGAACGGCTGGGACTCGATATCATCAAGTTGCTAGCAAATCATATGAGTCATATTCAGAACGTCTGGCAAGGATACGCACGGAGAGGTTGCCGTTGAAAGCCGGTCCTGCACCTTCGCCGTTGAGAGCGTCAGGGCTGAGGCTACCCCAGCCCTCGAAGCCCACGGGCCCAAAATTGACGCCGTCGAGAAGCTGGAAGATTACTTTAGCTCGACTCGAGTCGTCTGGCACGTATACGCACCGGGAAGTTCCCATTGAAAGCCGGCGCAGCGGTTACGCCGTCAAGCGCGTGCGAGATGAGATCGTCCCAGCTTTCGAAGTTCAAAGGCGCGTCGTGAATGCCATCAAGGAGCTGGGGAATCATGTTAGCTGGATTCAAGTCGTCTGGAACAGATACGCACCGGGAAGTTCCCGTTGAACGCCGGCGCTGCGACTTCGCCGTTCAGAGCGTTAGTCATGAGATCGCCCCATCCCTCGAAGTTCGCGGGCGCATGGTTAATACCGTCGAGAAGCTATACAACGATTTAAGCCTGATATAAGTCGTCTGACACAAATGCGCACCGTAGGACCGTCGTTAGGCGCCAGCGCAGCGTCGGTACCTCCAAGCGCATCGGTGACCGGAACGGCAAGACCGTCGAGAGGCAGAGGTAGGTGCTCGATACCGGCAAACAACTGACGAGTTGATTAGTTCAATGTAATACTGAGTATGCACGCTCACTGTAGAATTGTCGTCAAACGACGCAGCGCCTTCGCCATCAAGCATATCGGGGCCCAGAGCAGCGGCGCTCTCGAGGTTCAGAGGTATATCGGAAAGTTCCTAGCGGTATGGATCAGCTCGATCAAGTCGCTGAATACAATTACGCACCATGGGCTCGTTCAACTGTGGCGTGACGACTTCGCCACCAAGCGCGTTGGAGTTGTGACCGGACGAGTTCCCGACGTCCAACGATGAAAAGTCGGTATCAGCCAATTGCTAATTATGGGTATCAGTTCAATAAAGATAGTTTGAAACGTATACGCACCGTAGCAGCAGCATCAGACGCAAACTCGACGACTTGCCCGCCCGGCCCCAGGATGCCGGCGAAGGAGCCTGAATCGTCAATATTGACTTGCATGTTAGTCGCCTCAGTGGTAGAGTTGAAGTCGTGGGTTGCTGCGTTGGCGGACATGGCGAAGTCGTGGCCGAGGACAAGATGGGAGGACGAGGTTGGGATCGTTTCCCACAAGACGACGAAGGCGCCTATCGAAGGGCGCTCGGGCAACGCCGCGGCGCCTATCGAAGGGCGCTCGGGCAACGCCGCGGCGCCTATCAAAGGGCGCTCGGGCAACGCCGCGGCGCCTATCGAAGGGCGCTCGGGCAACGCCATCGGGCGCCCATCAAAGGATGTTCGGCCAACGCCGTGGCGCCTATCGGACGGTGCTCGAGCAAGTCCCTTTGATGGTGCCGCCGGCGCGCGTGTGGAGGCACGCTGGTGGCGCCAAATCCTCGACTGAACATAGCGTGTAGAGTCGGATAGCGGGAGGGACGCCTTGGGCGGGACGGACGTTGTTCAGTGGAATTCGTGGAAAACGATATGGTGTTTGGCGACGATAGGGTGCGAAATCGAGTATCTCTGTGGGAGGAAGGCGGGCTGCTCGTACTCAGCAACCACAAGAGATGGCGGGAGGCTACGAGATATGTGTATCACTCAAGAGACTGTCGGTTTGAAGGGCTGCAAGATGGGGGAGATGGGGGTCGAGTGCAAGAACGCTGGAATCGATGACACACGATCTTACACGGCTGTTCCGCCCGCGTGTGACCAGCCAATCAAATACTAGCTTAGCCAACGCTTCCAAAAACGGAGTGTTAGGTTCGAATACTGAACGTCCATGCCTGTAGCGGAAATCCGCCAATTGACCGTTCAGTCGTTGAGAGCCCTTCACCCCAAAGTAACATAGTGCTTCCTTTGGTCGGACAAATCAACCTGGCGACGGTGACACCCTTGAGCCAAGCTACACATCAGGAAGGCCGAAAGGTTTTGAGTGGCTCTCGTCGAGAGCATCGTGCTTTTAGGATTCTGCGAGGCTCTCTGATTGTCAACCAATCCAAGCAACAGCGCTGGGCTCATGGTGCTAGAATAGTGGCTCGCGGGCGGCGATAGCGCTCTAACGAGCTCTCTGCAAGGCACGATTCGGGGCCCGGCGGCTAAAGGCAACCGCGCCTCGTCGCCTCGATGGGGCAAGTTGTCTTGTGTATTCGTGTGACTCTGAATCAGAGCATTCGCACTCTTACCGGGAACCACCAGACTCTGTACATCTATGCACCGCTCTGGCACGGTCTCGCGCGGCTCTCACTGAAAGAAGAGCGTGCTTTCAAGAGAATTTCAGCTTTCCTGACGCAACCGCATACTATGCCTTCAATCTGGTTCTCATCACGATGCAGTGCTCCTGATTGATTTCCTGTGCAAGCTCTTCGCAGAAGGTTACACCGCGGGCCAACTCATGTACATAGGGTGCCACGAAGTGAACAAGTCACCATGTGGACGCCGACTGCGTTCTGACGTCCACTCACGACAGACAGCGATATGCTAGATTATGGGGGCGAGTTGTGCTTCATACCCTGAAGAAGGACAACCTCTCTACCCGACGTTGGTGGCCCTAGTGCTGCTCAACGAGGATTTTCTTATAGCTGCTGTGAATAGTGAGAGGAGAGGTCTTTCCCCTTCTTGGTGCTAGAGGGGTTCGCACGCCTGTCAGGGTATCCCATCGCCAACATCCACTTGGTGTGTTGAAGGACCGATGAGACGAGTGGCCAGAGTTGAAGGTGGCTCTATCATCTCACATATGACTCGCAGCGAGACTGGTGATGAACACAATTACGAGTGATTGGGCGCCACTTGCGACCCCGCAAGCTGCGTTAACGGGTGTGCGGGATTAGGAAATGCTCGTATACAAATATCGTCGTCACCCATACTCGGGCTTGCACTCGGGCCGTTGATAGTAGTTGCCCGTCCGCGACGAGTCCCACAAAATCATCTGATCTATTGCCAAGTAGACGATCATCCCTATCATATTGACAACCCAGCTATGGCAGCCACCGCGCCAATCACGGCTCCCCCAGCTGCCTGTGCAAGCCCATAGCTGCCACCGCTTTGGCTCGAGGAGGAGCGATCATTCGCCAGGCTGTTGCACACGTCCCGGACCATCGATTCATCCGCAGAGATGACCAGCATCACATCGTCCCGCTTCCCACTCCGCTTTACGACCGTAGCCTCGTGAAATCCGCCTTCCCGTGCAGAGAGCTGCCACTGCTTTACATCTGTTGCAGGTACGGTGTATATGGAGACCGGTGCACGCGACGCGACGCGATCAAGACCGCAAAGGAAACTCTCCCGCGTGCCAACGCTCGTAGAGTGTATCCAAGGTGGTGTGTGGATAGTGGATCCCTGCGCGAGGGACAACGGCTCGGTAGGCTGAAAGTCGTCCTGCGTGTCGTCGCTATCACAAGACTCTGTTGGTTGTCCAGCCAGAAAGCTCAAATTCTCGCCCATGAACGATCTTTCTGGGGAGGGTTCTCGGACGTTGGACAGGATGCGTTCTTGTTCCTTGGTTGTCGTCTGGTAGGACGTGTCCTTCGATTTATGAGGTGTGATGACCGTCTGGGACGCGCGAATGCATTCCACTGGTGAGTCGATACGTAGGGAGCTCATAGCTCCACAAAGACGAGCATCGAGCGAAGCAATGTCGTGCGCTTGAAGTGGTGTATCCGGGCAACGCGCGCGCGTGTGGCCCTTGCGAGGCTTCTTGCAGATCACACAGTGCGGAGTCTTCCTTCCTCCGGCGGCCGCGAGAGGCGTCTGCTCGTAAGCCTTTCGAGGCGTGGTAGGGGAAAGAGCTGAGCGCGTGGTAGGGGCCATGGCAGGTTCCGCTGTGAAAGCCAGATGGGAGGAAGTAAGAAGTCAGTAGCTCTTGGGCGGGTGTCTAACACTGTAATCACGTGGCCTTGTTCAACTCACGTTGGCTCACAACATTGGAAAGTGCCGTCCAGAGGGCCAGAGGCACCATAGGACTGTAAATACATCATGTCAGCCATCGATGCGTAAGCATCGGCAAACCAATTCTCTTCGAGCCCCGGTATCATTTGCTCGTGCCCGAGGTTCATACCACCCCTCTCCTATCAATTGTACGATATCGCTCGTGTCGCTTTCGTATGCCTATACCTTCTAGCGTAGCGGATACTGCTACCACTAAGTGTTTGCGATCAACCGAATATATGGCGACGAGGAGCCGGACACTGCAGACGACAGACATGCTGTGGACATACTTTCTCTACCGCTCGAGTCTAGCTGGCAGTCATGGGCCTAAGATACTTCGCGCCCCCGTCTCACGGAGCAAGAAGGGCGAGCCACGGCCACGCGAGACCAGCGCAAGCCACGCGAGCCGCGGACGTGTCGGAGGCGGTGAACGGCGTCTCTTTCGACCACCCATTCACCTCAACGCGCTGAGTCCGGCTTTGTATCTCGCAACTGCAGCTTCCGATTAGGTACGTTGAATCTAACAATCGTATGTACGAAGCCGGGCTCATGAAGGCAATGACAGTTTGAATATCCTTCGGGCTGTATCTCGCACACGAACCGAAGAGACCCTTACCCACGAGTAAGTCTGCAAACAAATGGCTGTGATACATGCTTTATCATTCACACAATGCAAGGCCCAGACATGACTTGGCCAGAACATACTCAGGCCAATGGCGCGGCGCTGAATCGTCACCAGTACGTTTGCTACAAGCACTAAACTCAGTTGACAACGGCACTAGTTCCGGGGCAACAGGGGTTCTTCAGCCGAGGGAGACCGGTGTGAGGGCAAGCACATTCCGAGGGTTTTATAGGCTCATGCACTGTGTAGGCATACGAGAATGGACCGAGCGCTCCGCAAGATCTGGAAGGGCGAATGATCGTGTAGCGGAAAGAGCCTGTCCAGTACGTAGGCGAATGACCCCATGATATGCATCGTTAATGGTGTACTATATAGGACAACCTGTGTTCGCGATTCTTAGCAATGCCGTTGAAGAACAACAGCACTCCAGCCGTCATGTCCTGTTTGACTACATGCGAAAGCGGCCAGCCCAAGACCGGCACGTCCCTCAAATGATGGGAAAGAATGTGCGTAGCATTGATGGGTGTTTCTACAGAGCTCGATGCAGAGGGAGACGGGCATGTTGCATCTCATCTCGGCATATACTCGGCCCTCTTCGAGACGGACGATCGATTCAAGCTCAAGAGCCGGAAAGGTGAATATATGGAGTGCGTCCGAGATTATTGCATCGCTAACTTGCGCAAAGCGGTGCCAGAGACAAGTTCTGTCTGCGATGAGGATAGTGAGAACAGCGACGATGAGGTGCCGGAGCTCGACGACCCCAAGGAGTCGTAAAAGACCTGTGCTGTAGATGGAGTCGTAGGATACTTCTATCACTCAAGATGATGATATTGTCCTATACGTGTCGAGGACATCCTCAACAACGTTGGTGGCAAACCACTATCCATTGGCGAGTGTGTATCAACAAGTAGCTCCCCGATCGTGGGATATCGCGTACTCCCAGATGCGTTCTGGTAGCTCATCGCAAGGGCCATGTTCATTCCGCTCACATCTTCACCCTCGTGCCATTCCCTTGCCTTCTATTCGATACTCTTACTCCACGATCACTTTGGTACTATCATTTTAGGCGTCTCAACCCTTCTATTCCGTCATTCGTTCTGACTCATTCTATATCGTACTTCTACTGCAAACCTCACAATATATGTATATAGTTTCAGACCTACCTGGTCGCGACCTCGACAGCCTTCAACACCAACTTCGCGATACCATGTTCATTTGCCAACGCCTGTCTCAAAACCTGTGGAGCCGCGAGCGTCGCTAGCTGTGCTGTGCTTTGCTCTGCCCAAGTACATTCCGCCGCCGCACGAATTGTTCGAACATAAACCATCACATCTGCCATTTGAGCTGTCGAAGTCACGGAGCAAAGTCTTGTGCGGCCTCGATGCCGCGGGTTTGATACGCGGAGCGTCGCCCAGTTCAGATACTCAAGTCCGTTATCTCATGAGCTGAAGGTAATCCGCCGCCAATAAACTGTCGCAGTTTTGGCTATTGACCAGCTATTGAAATTGCATGAGCCCCAACCGCCAGATCCGCTGTCCGGTGACGAAGTCGCCAGATACGCCGGAATCTCCGTCGCGTCGCCAAGTACGGCTCCATCATCGCCTCAAACCTGGTATGTTGCCATCGCCGAGGATACCGTCGCACTGCCACGCGAGATTGTCCCATCCTCCACCGCCGAGGAGCTGGCAACAGCTGTTGTAGCAGCAGCGGTCGAAGAGCGGTCGGGGCAGTTGCAGCAGGGCTGATCGCAGATGTTGCAGCGGTAGCAGAGTTGAAACATGATTGCATGGCAACGTCAACGCCTATTACTCATAGTTAGCCTATGTTCTCCATGTCATGAGGACGGAAAGTCACACACTCTGACACCAAGTACACACTGTCGCCGCTAAATCAACCAGCACCCATTAAGCATGCGTACAGCCCGTCTACAGTCGCAGTTAAAGATGTCGTCAAGACGCGCGCGCTGAGTTCTAAGATCAGGCCATTGTGGCGGCACAAGACAGACCGCGTTCAGCGCCTTTTTCCTCGCCTCCCCTAGTCCCCCCTCCACCATCGACCATTCGATGAAACCACCGCGGTCATCAGGGAGTGAATGACCACGCCACCACATATTCCCTTCGTTTGCCTCGTCGCTCGACGCATCGACTCACTTCCGTTTAGGTCAAAGTCCGCCGTCATCACGCCCCCGCCACAACGCGCCATGAGCGCGTAGCATATCAACACCTCGCGTGGGCACTCCAAATTCAAGCCCGCCGTCTACTGTGGTTTTGCTTCACATCCACGCGCCAGCGACATCGTCTCCCGGGGTTCTTCAGTCACGGATATCGAGGAATCTTCCATATGGCGAAAAGACCGTCAAAAGGAGGAGACTGAGGCGTGAATGGGTCGGGCCCGACGCTCGAGAGGGTAGCCTTCCACGGTCGTGTGGTGTATGCAAAGCGTAATTCCTTCACACCGGCACGATGGGTCCACGGGACGTCGCGTTCGACATCCGGCGCAACGATCGTTCGCGACATGCAGGGGGGACCTATATATTGGCAATACCAACAAACTTTGCGTCGCCCTTGCGGCCAAGCGCCTGATCGGACATCGTGACATCGATCAAGTTCATGACCCGCCGCTGTGTGGAGCAAGGTCCGTGACTTGTGGACGTAACCTGCGATGCACGAGTAGCAACGGTGCGACGGAGCAATCCTCGAACACGAGCGTGCTGTGCCGGAGATGAACGCGTGTGCCACCTTTCCTGCTCGATTGCCTAGGCAGACATGACGCCAGACCGGGGTCTGCAGCGGCGTAGACGTCCCAGGCCATATCGAGTACAAGGTCGAGAAGGCATTGGCGATGATCGATGACGACAGACTTCTAGGAAGTGCGGAGGGAGGAGATGGGTGACGATATGGCAAAGCATAAGACCTTGATTGATCGTTGGACCGGGATAAACGAGTGCGGGAGTCTTGCTGAACCATTCGGAGAGCGCGATGCGATGAGGGCTATGCACGATGACGAAGGCAAAAGGCGCAGGCCAAACTGAGGTGCTGGGGTGCCGCAGTCGGGCCGGAAGTGAAGTGGGCCGGCTTCTCATGGCCACGGTCGCCTTCACATGGTCCTCCGGGCCACGCTGGTGTTGCGCGGGATCCCCGCAATGGCTGGAAAGAGACCGAAACCCTCTATACTTGCGTCAAAGTCCCAGCGGGGCCACGCGGATCGCCTACGCTTGCTGTGCGACCTGAGAACGCTGGCACGAGCCATCTCTCGAGATTGCACTTGAAGGGTGTCACAGCGTTTGCAAGCCACGAAGTCGTCGACGAGAGCAGTACTGATGAGCGGAAATCTGGAAGCCACGTGTGAGTCACGATGGCGAATAGAGAAGGCATAGACGAGGAAGAGAATTACCTCCAAACGCAAATGCGCCGACTGCCCAGCCAAAGGTACAGCTGGCACACTGAGCGCGATCACCGCGTTCGCCTTCTTGCCACACCCCGTCCGGTCAAGGAGCCCAGGCCAGACAGCAGCTGCTTTTCCGACCGATCGATGGAGAGTTTCATCAACGACCCGACGACGCGTCCGGCTTCGCAATGGCGTCCCGGCGGTCAACCCATGCATGCCCGTGGATGGCTGAATCGCATGACAGGTCTGAGGGTGGATTGAGGTCAATAGAAACGGCCGTGTGCTCGTCCGATTGCGGTTGCATCAGAACTGCGACGTCGGACTGGGTGACCCCTCTAGATCAGCAGGGGATAAGCGAGAAGCACAACCAACAGTCGTGGCGTATCAAGCGTACCTCAAAGTCTCTCGTACCTTGCTGCAGTGTGCAAGCCGCACCTTTGTCAGTGCATGAACTGGTCCATCATCCAGAGTCAATACGGGTGAAGACGACGCGCAGGAATGGCCGACATCTGCGGGGCGGGCAGTCGCCGCTCCGTTCGACGGCGCTGTCGAGCTGCACGCCGAGAACAGGAACGGTCTTCTCCGTGAATGGAAGTCGGCCAAGGCAGGCGCGAGATGGGCCATCCATCGCCGGGGGAGACAGATAAGGTGGCCTCTGCCCCGGCACGTGTCTCGATAGCATGGTCACCAGACGTTCCTGTGGCAAAAGTGAGAGGGCAGATAAGAACGACAGAGGTGCACCAGTACATTACCTGCTGGATTGTGACCGAAGACGCGAATGGTACAATTGCTCGACGGCAACCTGGAGGAGGTTGGCAGCTTCGGGTACAGTGCGATGTGTGAACTCTGAAGCAGAGCGACAGCGAGCCAAAAGACCTGAGGGAGGTAGCGCGAGTTGGCGAGGAGAGCAGGGACTACATTGCGGATGCAGCGCAGCATGCTGACAACGGCGAGCGTATCTTGATCATTGAACTAGAAGTCGCCATCGACGTCGGATGTAGCGAGGGCGCCCAGAACGATGAAGGCGCGAGCTTGTACGGCCGGGGAAACCTGGAAAGCTGTCGCGGTGACGAGACTCATCCAGCGTGCGCGCCAAATGTTGAGCAGGCCTGTAGATAAGTCAGATAGTATGTTCACGCAACCAAAAGCAGTGTACGCACCCTTGGTCTGAGCAGCCGTCTCCATAACACGCATGAGGTATGACACCAGTCCTTCCTGATTATTCAAACCCTCCTTCTCGTTGAATGGGACATACGGGATGGGATCACCCGTATATGTCGCGCGCTTGAGTCCAAAGTACCGCAGCGTCTCGTCCGTGCTCTCCTCATCGTGCAACGTCTGAATCTCCGGTTCAGCAATAGCATTCGCCGAGCGGACTATCCACAGCGCTTGCAGCGTATCGAGAACAAGCTGCCACACAGTCGTGCGAACGAGCGTCTCGCCCGTGCCGGCGATGAGCGTGACGAGATGCAGCAGCTCGGGGCGGTATAATTGCGGGAGCACCGTCTGCTTGCCATGCTGATGCGCGATGAGCGCCAGGCGCGTGAGCGACGCGATCTCGTTCCAGTGCGTGTTGTCGGCCAGATCGCGCGTTGGCTTGACGCTCGTCTTCCCAAGCGCCTTGCGGATCTTGGACAAGATCTGGCCGCGCACATTAATGGACGTCAACGAGATCATGACCAGACAGATCGTTTCGCAGCGTTGGCTCGCGACGCCGCCGTCAATGGCCGCACGCATGAGCTCGTCAAGAATGACGTTCACGACGATGCTGTCGAGTCGTCCGGTCTTCTGGATGGCCATGATCTGGGCCGGGTCCGCGAGAGTGAGCTCGATAAGCAGTCGCACGCAGTCGCGTAGTTT